TAGAGTCACTAATTTCAATAGAAAATTAGTAAGCACACGGGATTGTAACGTTTCCAGGACGATGAAATTTTAAACGCGGGGGTGGGTCGTTTCTGTAATGGGATAACGGGAATCGATGGGAGGATAAAGACGTAGCTTACCTCCGGGGAACATCAACCCTCCATGAAAGCCAATCGAGCACGAACAACCACCCTTAATCGCGGAACGCCATTGGTCCGGAGTTACCCCAATTCTATTACACCTTCTGTCATGGCCATTTATAGCATTTAATCGACCAGACCGGATCTTGTAACATGGCGGTGATAAACCAGCTCGTGCACATGCCATCTCACTCCTCTAGACACTTTTGTCATTAAATAGAAAAGCTAACATTTGTAGTTTCACGCTAACTATGAATGCACGAGCATTCCAAGTACCTTTCTTTTTTAAATCATATTTCGATTATTAATTTTCTAACAACAAAAAAATGTAGAAGAGAAGAAAATAATGAAGAAAAAATAATTCTATCTTAAATGACATTTTAAAAATTAATAATTTCGATAAAATAGAAAATTTCTTTGTTTCGATTGCGGTTTTGCTAAATTGTATGACATTTCATATCATACGAAGTTTTTCGATTATACGAAGATTATCGATTATATGAAGTTTTAAAAACATCTATATAAATAAATGTAAAATATACATAATATTCCCCGCCAATCGTGTGTGGATAACTCGAATCATTAGTTTAGAAAAAATATTTTTTATCGACTTCGACAGTAATTACTTAAGTAAAGGTAACTTTTTTAAAACACATTTTTAGTCGCTATATCGCGGTATGACTAACTATTTTAGTCTGCTTATCTATGCGTCTGCACACGCGCGCCGGTAATTATTTATATCCATTTTTTAATATTTACCTACAAAGTATGCAAGAGAGCGCGGCATTAATGTGGCGATAATAATACGGTTCCGTTCCCTTTTCGTACGTTGACGACAAAAAATAAACCGAAAAATTGTATGCGGAAATTATTTCTAGAATAAGCGACGATAACTGCATCAAGGAGAACACACGATGTTAAATATGCAAACTATTATTACAGCTCCGACATACTTCTTGTGTTAAATCTTTAGACATAAAGTATATATACAATATATAATAATATGTTACATTTTTTTTTTAAATCTGAAAATGCCTTAGCGCATCAATAGATTTGGATACAAATTTTTCACTTCTTTTTCAAATACATAGTAACGATTATCTTTTAAAATACAATTACGTGTCTGTTTTTTTCTGATTAGAATTTGTTAAATATCGCCATGACTTCATTAAATTAGCAATTCTTATTTCGTACGCTTATCTGTATCATAATGACACATGCTTGTATCATAGTATCACATGCTTATTTGTAACATAATTCGTTTTACATATATCGTAAACTTGATCGGGTCGATACATGCCGAGTCGTTTGCAACCATGCATATGGAAACGCGTTGAAAATTAACGACTCGCTGTCTGGGAATAGCACAAGGTAAACATTAGCGCGTCTGTGTATCTCGACTTTTTAAATAAATAAAAAACGTCATGGTTATATAAATATGTATGACAATACACAATTAAAATAAAAATTAATATATATAATTTTAATTGTATTATATTAATAAAATCTACTAATTTCTGGGACTGCGTTACTGAATCGAAATAATATTGTCGCCCAATGCCTTCGTGTAAATTAATACCATTGGTCTTACTTATATTACATTACGCGCGTGTGTAATTCGTTAATCAACGCGATATCTTGTTAATTACACGATAACAAGCCGATAGTTCATAGAGTCGCGGGGAGAATGAGATTCCGTTATCGCGCGAGCTCATTTCGCTTTATCGGCCGACGACTAAATGGTAATTCGCTATTTATTCGCCACCGTAAGAGAGTCGAGCAATGCGCGTTATCGTTGCCGGGCACATATTTTGCATATCGGCCAACTAGAAACTTGGCCGGTTAGCGCTTTCCCGTTAGTCGCTCGCATCGCGCTCGGATTTTTCTCGTCGTTTTTCTAAATGCTACAGATACTTGCAATACGCCGTATTAATATCGAATTGACAAAAATATAAATTTAATAGACATATATTTTCAAAGATAGATCTTAGATTTTAGTATCGAAGATCTAGAATCTGCTATAAAAATGTAACATTTTATTCAATTTTGTTTGTTAACAAAGTTAATAAATAAAATTGAACACAAATAATATAAATATATATAATTTATATTTGTTAACAAAGATCGCGTTTAACATATTATGCAAGAGAGATGAGAATTAAATAGCGTCAAACAGAGGGGTGGAAGAGGGAGCGGTGAGAATATTAGTTATTTTTCAGAGATTTTTTTGCAGTTTGCGAAAGAGAGAGAGGGAGGGAATAGCACAAGGTAAACATTAGCGCGTCTGTGTATCTCGACTTTTTAAATAAATAAAAAACGTCATGGTTATATAAATATGTATGACAATACACAATTAAAATAAAAATTAATATATATAATTTTAATTGTATTATATTAATAAAATCTACTAATTTCTGGGACTGCGTTACTGAATCGAAATAATATTGTCGCCCAATGCCTTCGTGTAAATTAATACCATTGGTCTTACTTATATTACATTACGCGCGTGTGTAATTCGTTAATCAACGCGATATCTTGTTAATTACACGATAACAAGCCGATAGTTCATAGAGTCGCGGGGAGAATGAGATTCCGTTATCGCGCGAGCTCATTTCGCTTTATCGGCCGACGACTAAATGGTAATTCGCTATTTATTCGCCACCGTAAGAGAGTCGAGCAATGCGCGTTATCGTTGCCGGGCACATATTTTGCATATCGGCCAACTAGAAACTTGGCCGGTTAGCGCTTTCCCGTTAGTCGCTCGCATCGCGCTCGGATTTTTCTCGTCGTTTTTCTAAATGCTACAGATACTTGCAATACGCCGTATTAATATCGAATTGACAAAAATATAAATTTAATAGACATATATTTTCAAAGATAGATCTTAGATTTTAGTATCGAAGATCTAGAATCTGCTATAAAAATGTAACATTTTATTCAATTTTATTTGTTAACAAAGTTAATAAATAAAATTTAACACAAATAATATAAATATATATAATTTATATTTGTTAACAAAGATCGCGTTTAACATATTATGCAAGAGAGATGAGAATTAAATAGCGTCAAACAGAGGGGTGGAAGAGGGAGCGGTGAGAATATCAGTTATTTTTCAGAGATTTTTTTGCAGTTTGCGAAAGAGAGAGAGGGAGAGAGAGAGAGAGAATGAACTCTAATGGTGATGTAACAATTCGCTCTATACTCCGGATCTCTAATTGGGCATCGTCTCAATAACGTATTTATCTGCACCGTCGATACGTGTCAGCAATAACGACAGCGATACAGTTTTTGCTAGATCCATGGGCGGACTAATTTCGAGTTAATCGCCATCTTATCGCGATCTTACCGACTTTAAATGCGCCTTAATTAACTCCGCCGCTGTTATAAGAGCGGCCGGTTTTTGCTGAATCTTTGGCACAAAAGGCACTCATGGGGAAAAAGTAAACCTCGGGGCCGGGATTTCTCAAGCCCCCCGGAATGTCGTGCGGTTTTGATCGAGGAGAGGTAACTGATCATCCTTTGAAAGTCTGGTGTCGCGATCGATCTTGCTTTTGTTTTTCAATATTTCTTTCCACGGAACTTAATAAAAATATTCGCGCGTTTCCGTGAACTGATGTCTAAGATATATTATCACGCGCGAAAATTTTTAATTATAATCTCTCCAATATATTTAAAAAAAATTTCAATTATTGATAAATCATTAAAATAATTACAAAAATCGACACAATAATTTTTCTTCTATAAATATTATATTACTGAGTTTTTACTATCTATTTATAAATATTATATTACATTACTCTCTCTATTTAATATTACATTTTGTATATTAAAAAATCATGATTTTTTTTCACGATTACATGCGTTACAAGAGATTTATCTCGAGTAAACATATTATAATACGTATGTATTATACATATCTTATACGAGATCTGTCATTCAGATTATTCTGATATGTCATTGTAAATAAGGATTCTATATCACCGTATAATCAACTCGTAGAATAAATTTTTTCATGCGACGATAAATTATATAGATCACGCTAATAATTACGCTTCCAACTTAATCAACTCGGTAATTAACTTGCCTATCAGATTTAGATTTGTTTTGAAATATGATACATCTGTCATGTGTCATAGCATATTCATTTATTCATATCTATGAAGCAATGAAATTTTCGTTTCATCCAAAACATATTAACAATATTCTTATATGCAATTATTTCTTTTTCTCTCATATATATAATCTCATATATATAACACAGGTAAAATTTATTATGACTCATTGTCACATATTACATGTATTCTTGTAGTTGATCTGATTTTATATTAATATTATAATTTTAGTATTACTGTTGTTAATCTCTTTTATAACTTTTCCAAGTAACTATACGCATAAATTTTGTTTTTTGAGAAAAAGAAAAAAAAAATAGAAAAGATAATCAATTACAACATAAAGATATTAGATAGTCAGCTTTAGAGATACATTTTCGCCAAAAATATATCTAATATAATAAGCCATCCCCTGTAGTTGATCTGATTTTATATTAATATTATAATTTTAGTATTACTGTTGTTAATCTCTTTTTATAACTTTTCCAAGTAACTATACGCATAAATTTTGTTTTTTGAGAAAAAGAAAAAAAAAATAGAAAAGATAATCAATTACAACATAAAGATATTAGATAGTCAGCTTTAGAGATACATTTTCGCCAAAAATATATCTAATATAATAAGCCATCCCCCCTTTTTGTAATAAAAATATGTTTTGAATAAATATATTAATATTTATCAAAAATATTTCATTTCCGATTTATGCGGCGGATTATGATAATTATAAATGGGATTATCTAAGGAGACTCACTTGGCGAACGCTCGTTGTCCTGCGCGGGTAATTCTGCTTCCTCGACGTTGACGAGGCTGCGGATGCTGAAGACGCTTTTTGCCACTCTAGTCTTTTGTATGTCACCAACACCGTCCGTGGCTCTTCTGGGCGTCGTGCTGAGATCCATCGTCGATAGTCGCTCAATTTTCGACAGCGAACAAAGGGAGGACTCGGGCACCTCGCATCCTCTCACCGTAGGCACCGAAATCGTGCCGTCTTCGCCGTCGGCCGCATCTTCGACCGCGTGACCTCATTAAACGATGCACAAACGAGTATTATCCGCTTATTAAGAGGGCCGCGATTTATTTGCACCTTCGTCCTCCGCAATTTTGTTGATACTCGAGTTCGACGATACTTAATATATAATACTCAGCGTGATATACTTGGTAAGATCTAATTTATAGTTGGCCAAAATTTCGAATGTACTTTGCTATAAAGTGCGTCTCGCACTTGCAACTTTACTTTTTTTATAGGATATTGTTACAGCGTACATTCTTTCTCAGATCTCGCGACAAGTTAATGACAATTCAATTTTCGTCGAAACTTTTCTGTGAGAAATATCTACTCCCTTCGAGCTTGTCACAATCACATAAACTCAACTTTACGAGAAAGCTACTCTCGTTTTTCCATCCGAATCGTAACGTATGTCGCGGATGCGCACTTATTGTTAGTTTAGATAATAGACTGTCATCAGTTCGTCACGATATCTCTGGGATTTCGACGATAACTCGATTTTTTAATTGGTAAACGGATTGTTTTCCGGGTAACAGATACAACGATTACGTATCTTCACATATCGCACACATCGACGATCGCACTTTTTTTTCTATGATCGATCTGGAGATCGATTATCTTCGAGTGTCCGGTGATTGCGTCTTTTATGTCGCACCAACGTTTTCCCGCGATTCGCGTTACTACGCGTCGGAGATTGTTTTCTTCCGTTTACAATTCAATAAACTCGATCCTCGCATCGGTTAATGATCGACGCTCGTGTCGCGCTTCCGTTTCCGACCGAGAGTGACCGTCGTCACCGTTCAAGAATGCTTCTCGAGGCTATCGGATCATCAAATCGCATATTATCGATTCCGTCGGCCGGCATGTTATATATTTATTTTATTATTATTATTATTATTATTACGGAAACTTACGTATTTGGAAAAATATTATAAAGAAAAGAAAGGAGTTAAGGCGAATACTTCAGTAAAATTTCGGAAGAACACAGTGAAAATATCATTGCATATATTCGATACGTAATTCTCTTCGATTTATTTTATACGTAATATCCATTAATTTTAGTACATTACGTAGTGCGTTATTAATTCGCCACAGCAATCGTTGAAAGCACCTCGATCAAGCGACGGGATAACGAAATGATAGTTTCGTAACATCAGCTGTTTTTTTTTACGCGGTAAAAAAAAATTTTTCAACATAGTGCGTACAAATTTAACCTTTTCAAGTCCATTATTTGCAAACATCATTGTAATAGGATAAAATCCGATTATCTGTAAATTTGCATGATATAATAATAATAATACTTAATTTGTATATTTATAAGGAAGATGATCCCTAAAAAATTAGCAATTAGAAGATTATATTTTTATCAAGCAGAATAAAAGCCTCTTATGCAATAATAAATTGAAAATTAGAAAGAATTAAAAATAATAAAAATGCAGGTCTGAAAGGAATCTCTGAATACAAGTCCGCTAAAAATATTGTTTTTTTAAGCAACACTGACCGAGGCGCTTCGAATCGCTGAATTTTAACGAGCAGACGTTGCTCCGCACTAAATTCGACAAACATAATTAATCTAGGTGACAATAATATAATTCCGCAGCGACACGTCGCTTTACAAATCTCTACGTGACTACAATCATCAAAAGAATCTTGAACGAATTAAAAATAGAGAAAGCGCGTCTTTTCTGTGTTTCGTGTGTCGCAAATGCGCGAATGTGTAACATCTAATAATCCGAGGACGAAAGCTATATTACATTGTAACGAAATCATAATTTCGTACTTTTAAGTACTCAAGAAGTTACACTGACAATTGCCTCGTAATATCTACAATAAAATTCTCAACGCAAGAAGAAATAAATAATCAATTCCACTTTTCCCTTGGCATAAATGTAAAAATTAGTGAAATATTTTAATAGAAATTAATTCTTTTTTGTTTTCTTAAAAATTGTGACTATGTAATAATATTGGAGGATTTTTATATTTATATTTATTTATAAAAAGAGTTGTAGAATTGATGTTCTGTACAAAGAATTGAAAGAAAACACAGATTATTTAAAATAAATTCTAATAAATCCTGTTTTTTTATTCTTATAACATAAAAAATACCACGCATCTTTAATTGGTAACCAACGAAAATTAAAAGCTAGAGCCAGAAAATAAAAATTCTCTCTTTTATATACATATTTTGGTAAAAAAAAAATTTCGATAAAAACTCGAAATATTAAGAAATATACGCAAATTATCCATTCCAATACACACTTATGTTAATTCTTGCTAAAATTATTTAAATAAAATTCGTCCTCGAACGTAAGTGAAAAAGACATGTATCTTTGGCACAATAAATGTGAACATTTTAATGTTATTCGTGTTCGCCAATTTCAATGTAGTCATCATATTGGCATTCTTAATCTCTCCTTTCCTTCCTTGATCACGGTATGAGATCTTTTGCATTTCCTTACGCTCATATGGGAAATCACATCAATATCGAAATTAAAAAGAATTGTAATATAGGGCAATTATATAATTAATAACATTAGACTTAGCACCTAATGGGGTTATTCACATTAATCGCGCGCGTAAATTAACGATTCCGGTTCTTAACTATTTGCGAAACACTCGTAAATTTCAAGAAATAAAATAGAAATACTTCCTGCTTGGCCTAGGAAAATTAGAGAATTATTTAAGAAAGAGAAATATTTAAGAGAGTCGAGAATTTAAAAGATTTTCAAAGCGCGTTGCACCAATGCTTTAACACTTTTATTAATCGAGATCTAAGAAAGAGATAAAAGATAGCAAGAGACATATTATTCGGAAGCTGATCGGAATCAGCTAATTGATCTCTTGCTTCAATATCATTAACGATATTTAATTAATTTTGTGCTCTCTAATTTTATATTATTGTTTTCCAGAATATGATGAAAAATCGCTATAATAAATATAATAAACAATTGCTAGTCGAACTCTTTCGGTGCAATTCATCCTGAATTGAAAATCACAAAACGTTTACGTATACCAGTTTGAACACCTAGGCCTTACTCGTACCATCACTAACTGTACTTGACGTTTGTTGGTAACCATTCGCGGTTTACCATCAACGTTCATCGAAATCACCGATATACTTATTCGAAAGTTCCTAACTAACTTACCGTCTGCTCGCGCAGAGATCTACCTTTGATCTCCTCTTTGATCTGTGTTTTGACGCGATAATTCTTTGGAAATAAGATAAGAGGATGAGACCGTTTTCGCACGAGTCTCTAATATCAAGTATCAGCATCCATAAGTACACCCTTCACTATATTGTGATTTTTGTTCTTACATTTATCACATATATATATTTAAAAAAATATATGCTATAAAAATAATAGAAGCAATATAATATAATTATGGGATGATATCCCGAAGAATAATCTAATTTGAATAATCCAATTGAAATCGATATTTCGTGTACTAATTGAAACGACAATTTCAATTTTTATGAAAGTGGATACATTTGGGGATTAAATTGTTCATTTGTTAAACTTTATTAAAATATAATGTAAAATTTGCTGCCAGCAAACAACACAGGATGTACTTAGGGATGCTGATACGTAAGAGATAACGTCATACAATTCGAAATAAAAATTTGTTTACATTTAACACTATTTCCATTTAAGGCATGTAACGATAATGAAGCGATAGAAATCGAAGATTTGTATAACATGTCTTTGGGATACTCGTATTTACGAATTGCCAGCCTAGTCTACAACTCAGCTTTAGCGACGCATGCATGCGAGATATTAGATCACGGATATTACAGGACTACACTATTCAAAAGCTCGGATATCTTTGTCAACCCGACGAAATAGAGTCTTGAGGTTGAATGTCCACATTACTTTCTCTGAGAAAATGTAACGTAATAAACACAATATATATAAT